GGTGAGGTTGTCTGGTTTGAATTTGGTCTCTCGCAAGGTCTTTCAGCCAGTGACCCCCCTGCTGTGTCCCTAGCCTGGCACGAGTACCCCCATGGCTTGTGATCCCAGTTCAGCAATTTTCCCACCCTGTGGCTTCCAGTATAATGTTGGCACTTGAAACCTGGCCCGAGTCCCCAAGCAGCCAGCCCCTGGCTTTGGGACGCGAGTGAAACCCACCGCTCCTTCGAGCCGTGCGACCCGGTGTCCGAGCAGGAGGCCCTTGTGTGGACCGGGTTCGTTCTCCCCGCGCAGGGGCACGTAGCCTTGCTCGGCAGCAGCCTCGAATGGGAGACAGCCTTCTTCCATCGCTGGGATGGACGTGCCGACAGCGGGGCCGGACTGGCGCTGAGCAGGGAGGGTCTCGGCACGGCGATGCCCCTGTTCTGCTCTGGGTGTTCCCGGGCTTTGCTGCTTGTCACACGGGGCCAGGAGGGAATTTTTTCGTCCCCTTTCAGCTCCAGGGGTTTAAGCCTCCCCCAGAGGCGCTGGGGCTGGGGCTGGGCTGGGCCAATGCTCTTGCTGGCACCAACCCCGCAGGGTCCTGGCAGGAGGGTCTTGCCCCCGGGCTCAGGCTCAGCCCCGCGCTGCACTGGGGCAGGGAGGGATTTCCCCCTGCTTAGACTGGGCCAGGCTGAGGGTTTTGCCTTCCTCTGCAGCGGGGGCTCGGCCTGGCCTGGGCTCTGCAGCGCCCGTGACCCCCCAGGCACAGCAGGACGTTGGTGGCTGTGCCCCCTCCCTTCCCATCCCGGGAGCAGGGGTGGGGGCGATGCCTGGGGCTGTGTCGTGTGGCTCCAAGGTCAGACACGGGGTTTGTCTGGGCTGGTTTGGACGGGGCTGATCCTGCCTCGGGCCAGGCTGGACTGGATGCGACCCTGCAGCTCCCTGCCCGCCCCGCGGCGCTGGGACTTGGAGATTTTAGGTGCGCCTGTCGCGGCGGTACCGTCACCCCCTGGCGCTCACTCGGTCTCTGTCTGTCTCCGCAGGTTCATGAAGGTGGCGGGCAGCACGGTGGACGCTGTTACGTGGCAACAGTAGGTATTCATCATTCCTTTTACTTTCCAAACGAAGCCCCGCAGCGAGGCAGCGCTGCCCCGGTGGGGCTCATGCCTAGTTCAGGATCAGCCGGTCCCTGTCGCTCGGAGCCGTCGCCCGAGCGCCCGTGCTGGGCTGTTGTCACCCGCAGCCCCCAACCCCCCGCGACCTGAGCCGGGATGGGGAGGCAGTGACTTTGCTGCTGCCTTTCTCAGACGGCCTCTCCCTGCCTGACTCGCCCCATCACAGGGAACGGAGACTCGCCCCAAACCTCGGTTTGCTGCCTGGGCTCCTGGTGCCGCAGTAGGTGGGCGGCTGGCATCGGGGCCAGAGTACGCTGCGCCGGGGGGCAGGAGCGAGCTGGTAGTCCCCTGCGTCTCCTGCTTTTCCTGCCCGCTCTGTCTGCTCTTGCACCTGCCGTGGGCCCGCGTCCAAAACCCGCCTGGCCCAGAGCAAGGGGAACGCATCAATAAATGGCTGCCACCTCCAAGAGGCATCCCGACCAGCATCCGGGATGCCCACGGGCAGACTCTCTGCAGAGACCATCTGCAGCCCCCGGAGCAGAGGGGCAAGTCCGCAGGGCACATTATGGAAACGTCCTGGTTCAAGCCAAGCTGGGCTTGTCCAGGAGATGTGAGACGCGGTTTTGCACCAGTCTCCCAGAATCGCAAACTTGAAGCGCTCAGAGCAGCAAGCTCCTGTTTGCCTGGGGGATGCCAGGGGTGGCTGGTGCCCATTGCAGCCAGGGCTGGTCACGGACATCTCCGTCTGCTCCAGGGACAGCTCTGCCTCGGGCGCGTTGCGAGCCCCAGGAGAGATCCCAGGCCCTGAGCAGCAGCTCTGAGTGTTACAAGGGCCGATGGATGGGACCGAGTGTCCGCAGGGGACCCAGCGTCCAGCACCTTTAGGAGCCAGCTGCGCCGTGTTGGTCGCTGCTGCTGTGTCTGGGACCCAGCATTTGGCTGGGAGCTTGTTCCCCCAGGCTGGGCCGGGCTGCTCACTTGGAGTTGGTCTGGAGCGCACCTTCCCCCCGAGAAGCAAGTTCGCAGACTAAGCAAACGTGGTTTCATCTTGGATGTTGGGGCAGGGCAGCAGGAGGAAGCTGCAGACCAGTCGCTTGGACCCTCGGCTGGAGGCTGAGTGCAGCGTGGCTGCGGCTCGGTGCCGAGGGGTGGCGCGTGGGCACAAGTGGACCGGGGAGCAGCCGGGCGAGGGTGAGGAGTCAGTCCACGCAAAGGGGCCACACTCCTGCAGACCTTGTCCAGTGTCTCCCCCAGCGCCGGCCCCACAACCGTCTGTAGGCTGCGTCTCCAGTCTGGGCTCCCGCGGGGGCTGGCTTGACGGGCCTGCTGGCGTCTCGTCCCTCTTTGTTCCCAACAAGCAAAACGCTGCCTTGGTCTCCTGGAGAAAGCGAAGAGCAGGTGGAAGCTCACGGTCCTGGGGATGCAGCCAGGTTGCCGCTAAGCTCACGCGTGAGTGTCCTGCGCCGAGTGCCTGACGCTGTCTGCGGAGATCAGCTCTGATTCCTCACATCTGCCCTTCCTTCCTCTGGAAACGCTGCGCACCTGCCCCCAGGCACCCAGACCCACGCTCTCCTCCCCTGCCTGCTTCTCCCTCCCTTCTTGAAGCCATGCAGCGTGGTCTGCATTGATGCGAGCAGATTTGGCCACCTTTCCCGAGTCAGGAACGGACAGAGACAGATCACTGTCTTCCCTCTCCAGCCTCAGGAGCAACGTGCCGGAGCAGTTTGGCACTTTCCTGTGGGCACGTCACTGGGCCTGGGCTGGTTGTGCTTGGCGCGGGGTAGGAGCTCCCCATCCGGCCGGCCCCAGAGAGCACGCTCCATCCGGTGCCATCCATGTTTGACACAGGTTGAAAACCCAGAGCCTGCTTTCGTACCTGGCCACACACCAGCAAGGGAGCTCTGTCTGCCAGCCTGGGGAGCACAGTGCCCCAAGGGCCGGCTGCACCTCTCCAGAAGGTGCCTGGAGTTGCTTGTCCTGGGAATGCATCCCTGGCGTCACCCCTGACCAAACCAAATCCCTTCCACTGCATGTAGATGGGATGCGGCCAGCATCAGAGCCTCCGGCGGACCATCCCCTCGGGTCCACGGAGCAAGGCAGCATCCCCTGCAAGGTGGGAAGCCCTCCGCAGCCTCGTCTGTCTCGTGCAAAAGGGTGTTAGAGGCACTAGGGTGGAGCATGGGATGTGTGCATCGGGGTCTGTGCTGGGGTGAGACGTGTTGCACGCACCCCTGGAGTCACCTGGATCGGGGGGTCCCCCCCAGCATGGAGGAGGGGATGTCCACAGGGGGAATGTGAGCACACGGGCCCTGAGACCAGGCACGCGCTCAGGCCGCAGGAGGCCGGGAGGAAAGGGAAGGCCCCAACAATGCAGAGCAGCGTCTGCAGGAGCCGGGGGCACCCTCGCCCCGTGGGTGACTGCCGGCGGGGCGCTCCCTGCACGGTAGCCCAGCGCTCCCTCCCGGCAGGCGGCGGGCCGGCGGCGCGGGCGCGGGCACCGTGCCTCTAACTCCAAGCAGACTCTGCCTGTAGCAGCAGGCGACAAAGTAGATCCGGAAATTCCTGAGCGCGGGGAAGTTGGCTGTAATGTAATTAGCTGAAATGAAAGAAGGGGTCAGAGAAGAGGGGGCAAAGGTTCCTCTTTAAAATAAAAGCAGAGGTAAACAAAACCAGCTGCCCGGCAGCCGGTGGCTCCCTTCATTAACGACCCTCAGAGGCTAATGGTCCCAAGCAGCTAATTGCAGGGCTCTGGGGAAGGCTTGCAAGATCCAGAGGCAAACGGGGCTGCGAGGCGCAGCCGGGCTCCTTCGCGGCTCCGGTGCCGTGCGCGGCCGTGTCCCCGCGTGCACCTCGGCCCCGCGTAGTCCTGGGGCTACGTGGCACAGCAGGGGCCTCTTGCACACGCAGAGGGGTGCGAGCTTGGTGCGAACGAGGCCTTCTGCACTGCGGCGGGTTGCTCTGTCCACGCCAGCCCCCGCCCGTGACCGCGACGGGCGATGCTCAGCGTTTTGCTTCAAGCCCCAGCTGCCGGAGTCAGGTGCCCGTGCAGAAGGCCCAGCTCCCTGCTGGAGCCGAGGGCTCGGCTGAGGAGCAGAGCGCAGCGTGCAGGTGAAACGGCCCCAAGCATCTGGTTTAAACCCCCTGGAGCATTTGGCCCAGCTGCAGTGGGTCGGCAGTGCCAGCCGGAGGGGGCGAGTGCCTGCGGCTGCAGCTTCGGCAGCTGGCCTGGGCGGGATAATCTGATTTCCTACCAAGGGGATTTTTCCATGAAAAGCGCCTGTTTTCCCACAGAAAATTTCATTCTTTTTCATCAAACTAGTTTGGCCCCGGACTCAAAAACGTCAGTGGGAAAATGTCAGCATTGGAGTTTTTGGCAGAAATGTCCCTAGGCAAAGAGGACTTGGAGCAGCTGCCTGTCTCCGGCGCTGCGGTTTCCCGGAGAGGGGGCACCGCTCCCCAGCTCTGCCGGGCCGGCGGGAGCAGCCGGGGCCTCGTGCTTGCTGCGGGCAGCCGGGCCCAGGGCTCGGCTCGGCCCCCCCATGCCAGCCGCGGGGAAAGTGGCTCTCTGCACCCTCCTGGCTCCAGGACTTTCCTTCTCCACCTCCCTTGGCCCTCATCCTGAGGGGCTTTGGGACCTGGTGTGAGCCAGTGTTAGCGGCCCCGTCTGCTCCCATCAGGGCTCACGCTTGGGCTTCAGCTCGGCCAGCCGGGCCCGGGTTTCATGGCCACGCTGCCGTGTCCGCACCGGAGCTGCAGACACAGCGGTTTGGTGGGCGATGCGAGGAGAGGAACAGGATGCGTACAGCACGGCTGCAAACCGCGGTCCAGACGCGCAGCCACGTACGGCACTGGAAGGAAAGCCTGGATTCCTGCGTGGTCGGTGGACCCGGGAGCACGGCAGGGTCTGGTGGGCAGGGAAGAGAAACCCAGGCTGTGTTCCCCTCCTGCCACTGGCTCTGCGTGGCCTTCGGCACGTCCTGCCCCGCTGTGTGCCCTCGTGGCCCGCGTCGAATGGGGGCAGCGATACTTCCACCAGGAAAAACACATGGCTGTCCCGTGGTCTTTGCCCACGTGTCCCCAGGAGCCGGTGTTTGCAGTCCCGCTCGCCCTCGCTGTCTTCGTGCAGGGGGCATCGTTTCGCGGGCTGGCTCCGGGGGTGTGGAGGGCACAGACGGGCTCCCCAGAGCAGCGGGCAGAAAGGCCTTCCCTGAGCGTGGCGCATAGCTCGCTGGGCCACTCTCTGCCTGTGCGCTGGCTTGGCAGTGGCCACCACAGTAATGTCCAGACGTGGGACGTGCCGGCTGCAGGAGCCCACCATGGCCACAGCTGGCGGTCCCCTTCGTGCTGCCCAGACCGCGAGCACCACGCGTCAGCCTTTCCATGGCCTCCGCGCTGGCAGGGCGGCTTTGGCGCCGGCTCGTCTGCTCGCTGCAGACATCAGCCACGGGCTCGTTCTCGTCTCGCTGATGGCCTGTCCCGGAGCCAGGCACCCCTCCAGGAGCGTGTTATCTCTGCTGCTGCGAGACGCGCCGCCGCACCTCTCTTGGCTGACGGCTCAGGCTTTTCCTTCCCGCATTCATCACGGGCTCCTCAGCGCTGGGGTGCGGGGTCAAGCTGGCCTCGTGCTTCTCATCCCATCCCGGGGCCGCTTCTTTCAGCTGCAAGCCCTCGGAGACCATCTCAAGGAGCAGCTCTGTCCTGCGTCCATCTCTGCTGGCTCTTGGCCAGCGCTGCCTGCATCTGGGCTGGTTTCTACCCCGCGCTGCTCTTGCCCCGAGCCACTGGACTGGTTTTGTGCGATGCCAGGAGTCGTGGGTGCAGCGCGGGCACCTCGCTGAGCGCTGCGGGGCTGCAGCTGCTGACCAAAGGCTCCAACGCGCCAGGCACCCTCTGCCGAGCACTTCCTCCTCCTGGCCGCAGAGAAGCAGGCCTGGGCCCAGCACCTCCGTGCTGCATGCCCAGACCGTCTCTCTCTGCAGCCGTGCTGAGTACACGCTGTGGATCCTGGGAGAGGCCGCAAAGCATGGTGCCGATGCCCAGTCCTCCCCCGCCGCAGGCTGCCTGCGGCCACGCTGCCTTCGTGAGCGCACGGTCCTCGCACCTGCGGCACGCTGCACCCAGCAGCCTTTCCCCTGCTCCACGGGCTGCTCCAGTGCCGGCGTCCAGGGCACGCCGTCCTTGGAAGGACAGCAACGGCTTGGAGAGCTCGGAGAGGGGAAAGCTTGCGCACCCCCTGCCCCAGAGCCTGAGCCCCCACAGCCACCTCGCTGGGATTTACGACCCCCCCGGTCCGGGGTCCCTGCTGCGGCGGGTGGCAGTGCGAGACTTACAAGCAGCTGCCACGGCTCCCGTGGCGTCATCTGCTCCATCTGCGCCCCAGCAAAGCGCGCCACGCCATGAATCCTCCGCCGTGGCCCCACGTGCGCCTCCATCGAGATGTCCGGATGTTAAGGCTGCCTGTTTCTTGTTCCCCTCTGATCTCTTGGTTGCCCCCCTCACTGTGAGGCTGAATAAATCCCCTTCCTCCTCGGTGCTGATCCTTCCAGAGATTTGCCCAGAGACTCTCCTTGCCGGCACGTGGCCAAACCAGACCCGCTTCCCTCCTTGCACCTCCCGATAGCACGGGAGACGGGCTCCTGCCTCTCTCTGATGCCCAGCACCAAGGGCAGGAGTCACGGGGCATGCGTGGCGCTGCAGGAAGGGGGCCAGGCCCCCCTGCTGGGACACCCCGGCCTTTGCAGCTCGAAAGCCCGTGGGTGCTTTGGAGCTGCAGCCGTTACGAATCCACGCTGGCCACAGCCTCGCCTTGTGCCTGGGCTCTTTGCATCCTCCGTGATCCACATGGCTGTCGAGCACGTTGGGACCTCCTGACATCCATGCACCTGCCGCCCTCCTGCCCTCCACCGCTCTTGCTTTCCACCTTACGGAAGAAATGTCTGGTGTCTCTTGGCCCCAGCCCCGGCCCCGCCTGCTACTCAGGACGCCGTGGCTCCCGCGTGGCCAGGGACTCAGTGGCACGGACGTGGCAGAGCTGAGTGGTGTGTGAAGACCATCGCTATCACTGTACGTGCGGTCTCATGATAGCAGGAAGGCCAGGCGTGCTGGAAGCTCCCCCTGCACTGGAGGGCTTGGAGGGGACCCAGCGCAGCTCGTTTCGAGGGAAGCGGAGGAGAGAGCAAGGAAGGACAAGGGGAGGCATCCCAGCCTGCTCCCCCTGCGGAAAGACCTGCAGCTTCTGCAGACGGGTCTCAGTCACCTTGGGACCCACCAGGCAGCCCTGCTAGAGATCCCCCTCGAGCTGAGGATTGCCCTCCAGGCATGGCTGGGGCTGCCCTGTGCATCTGTGGGGCACCGGTGCCCTTCTTGCAGGGGAAGTGCGGCTCCCGGGGACGTGCGGTGCTCCCACATCCTCTGTCCCCGCTGCCCTCAGCACCTGGAAGCAGGTGGCCCGGGCTGCTCCGTGCTCCCCACTTGTGGCTCAGTGTCCGGGCTTCCCCCGGACTCGGTTGCATCCTTCCGGCCTGCTGCCCATGCCCAGGGCACGGAGGGCAGGGCTGTCCCCAGAAGTCCCTCGGTCGCCTGGCCCTGCCCTGTCTTCTTCACTGGCTCTGTGGTGCGTCCGTCGTTGTGCACGTCGCTACCGGGTGTTTGGAGTGAGCCGGTCGCTAGCCGTCGTGGGAGGGAAGTCTCTCTGTGCACAGCTGGAGCTCGCCCAGGTGCCGAAGGCGATTACAGGCTGTGCCCAGCTTCCCCCCATGCCTGGAAGGCCTGGGGATGCCAGGAATGAGGGGCAAGAGCAGTCTTGGATACCCAGGAAGAGAGCGTGCTCTCTCCCTGCAGAGAGGGAAGTCCCCTGGACACTGCCCGGCACGTCAGGATGGATCATCTCTAATGAGGCCTTTACTTCTCTGCAGTCTTGTTCTGCATGAGAAACGTCAGCCGCCCAGGACAGGGGCTGGAGCCCACCACAGCCCTGGCCGCACCGGAGGGCCCGGCAGGCAGCTCCTGGGGCTGGAGGACTCTTGCCCCCAGCATCTTTGTAGTGGGAGCATCGGGCTCTGATGCTCCTTTGTCCCAGGGTCACGGCCCCTGCCACCCCCAGTGCCCTGCTGGGGTTTGGGGTGCCATGGGGGACCGTGCAGGATGACCCCAAGGCTTCTCCCAGCTGCATTATCTGTGCGCGTTCATCGCCCGCCCCGGCACCCGCCACTTGCTGCAGGCACGGAGATGCTTGGGGTAGGTGCAGCCGAGCAAGCGTGGACACGAGTGCCCTGGGGGCCCATGGCCTGGCAGGGAGGCGTGCGGACGTCGCGGCTCCGCGGGCACCCTGGTGAGTAACCGATCTCAGACTCGGTCCTGGTGGCACCGACAGTGGCATGGCACCAAGCACCTCCGTGGGGGTCTGCGCGGTGAGGGCAGCAAGTTGCGGCTGGGGCGAGCTCCTTCACAGAGGGCCAGGTGCCAGGGTGAGGGGCAGTAGCTGCCAGCTCGCTGGGGTAGACCCTGCCTGATTCTTGCCTTCTCGTTGTCCTTCCAGTTACTACATTGACAGCCGCGTGGCCAAAGTGACGGACTTCCTGAAAACGCGCCTGCTGGACACGCTCTCCGACCAGATCAGGAAGATCCAGAAAGTGCGTGAGTGTGACGGGGCCGGGCGGGCGAGGGGCACCGTGTCTCGCGGGGGCACGGCCAGCTCGTCTGGACGCAGCATGTCGGGGCTGGAGTTAGCAGGTGGCAGTGGGAGAGGCAGGGGCTCGGCCACGGGGCTTCGTGTCTGCTGCTGCCCACGGCCTGCGGGGCTGTCGGCTGTCACGCAGCCGGCGGGGGAGGGAGCCGTGGGCTGGTGCGGGCCTGCGGGGTAGGATCAGCCCTGTCCAACCCAGCCCAGACAAACCCATCGTCTGACCTCTTGGTAAAACTGCCAGCACCACACAAGACATCTGCGTGAACCTGCCACGCATGGAGCAGGGGAACCACAGCAGCCACCGTCCTGCTTCTGTGAACGGCTACTAATGTACGATCAAGAGACGCCAAAGAAAGGCCGTGCCTCGATACAGAGGAAGGCAAAACCCTCCAGTCTGCACCCGTCTGCATGCAGGGCTTGGCTGCGGGGAAGTGGCTGGGCATTGCACAGGGCACGGATGTCAGGGCCGGGGTAGGACGTGGCTACAGGAGCACGCGGGGAAGGGGTGAGAAGCGTTTTGAGGGACAGGAACCATTGGGGAGCAACGGGGAACGTAAGCACGCCTCTGACCCCCCGGCTCTCGGCCGCCGAGAAGAGACGTGGGGGCTGGCTACGGCACGGGGCCGTGTCCACACAGCCGCCTCCGACGCTGGCAGCCGTGTCACAAGGCGGGAGCTGCTGCTTAACCCCGTCCCTCAGCCGGGCCCAGCGGCCTGCCCGGAGACCTGTGCAGACGCGACGCTCGTCTCGGCTCGGGGGTAACCTGGCGGGCACCGCCACGGGCACGAGATGCTGCCCTGCAACCACACAGCGCAGAGGGCCCTCGCTGCTCACCGGCGAAGGGGACCCGTGGGGGTCCCTGCCCTGCTCCCAGCGGGTGCCGCGAGCCAAGCTGTGGCTCTCACGTCTGCCGCTGGAGCGATTCTCCCTGGGCGTGAAGAACCGCAGTGGTTTCCTCCCTGGGGCTGGTGTTTTGACTGCCTTATAAAACCCAGCTGCTGTCGGCTCGCGGCGCAGGGGCCCACTGCTCTGCGTGGCTTGCGCCGCTGGCGGACAGCTGAGGCTGGGGCGCGCTCGAGGCAGCGCCGGGGCCGCGGAGCAGCTGCGCGTCCTGCAGCCGGAGGAGGGGTCCCAGCATGTCCCTGCCCCGGGGGCCATGGGGACCCTGCAGCTGGGCCTTGCCTCTGGGAGTGCAGGGCCTGGCCGAGGCAGGGAGCGCGGCCATCGCCCTTGTGCCCACGGTGTCGGCTGCCCGCGCGAGGCAGGGGGTCCTGGGCAGGTGCAGGGAGGGGCTCGTGTCTGCCTGGAGGGCTGCAAAGGCCCGTGGTAGGGTTGGGCAGGGCCGGGGCACGGGGGAGCTGGAGCACAGCCCTCAGGGGTCGGGGCTGGGCTGGGGACGGGGGCATAGGCACACCCGGAGGGGCCAGCGTCTGTTGCAGAGGCTGTTCCCAGGCTCTGTGTCCTCTGCCCCCCACCCCCTCAGCTGTGCTGGGCATAGGTGCTAGGGCAGGTGGGGGCTGACCTCTGACCTCTGCCAGGGCCGAAAGCCTCGGGGAGCCCCGGAGCAGCGCGGCTGGGGCCGGGGGAGACTGGGAGCGCGGTGCTGGGCGCTAATGGTCTCCAGCTTGGGCTGCAGAGCGTGCATCCTGCCGGCGCTGATTGCAGCAGCTGGGCTTGTCCACTCTCCTGTTTTATTGCTTCCTCTCTGACGCAGGAAGGTGGCGGCTTAGATAATTATCGGCAGCGCGCCAGCACCTCGGGGGCTGCCGGCAGAGATGCTGACGCGCCGGCTGCGGTGGGGGGCTTTAACCTCTTGGTGGGATCCTTCCCAGTGGCCTTCACGCGGGGGCCCCGCCTGCCCAGCCGCGGGGCACAGGGCACAGGCCCAGGGACACGAATGCTCTGGGCAGCTCTTGGTCCAGCCTAGAGAAGGAGGCGGTTGGACCCAGGGCGTGGGGTGGGGGTGGCACCTGCCTGCATCCCTGTCGCTTGTGCTCGGGGTGACGCACTTGGGCACCTGCCGCAGCTCCCTGCACCCTGGGCCTGGCACCGCTTCCCTTCGGGGACGTGGCTGCAGCAGCCACAGGAGTTGCAGAGAGGGGACAGGCCCCCCAGGCCAGGAGAAGGCACGGGGCAGCCACCACACTGGTGTCCGGTCAGAGCGGGAGTCCTTGTGGTCCGTGCTGGGCAGGCATCGGGGGCCCTGGGAAGAAGGGGCCCCGCAGTGCCCAGCGGAGGGGTCTCTCACCCATGACGCGCTGCTCTGTGCTGTGGCCCCCGGCCGAGCCCGGGCTCAGGCGCTCTCCTCCATCCCGCACGCAGGTCGTGAACGTCTACGCGCCCGGGAAGAGGATCTGGCTGGAAGGCGTCGGGGCCAGCTCCACGGGAGGCATGACCAACCTCTCGGACTCCTTCGCAGCCGGGTTCCTGTGAGTCGGTGCGGCCGGGCTGGGCACCAGGGCCGTCCAGAGCTGGAGTCACTCTGGATTCACAGCAGGGCTCTGGGGTGGGATCCAGCCCCCGTCCGGGGCTGCCGGGGGTGGCATGGCACATGGACGCCGTTGCACAGCTCCGCTGCGTAGCTCTGGTGCCGGCTGTGAGAGCTGGAGGCTTAGAGCACGCTCCCATCTCCGGAGCGAGTTGTGGGGCTGTGGCTATGGGCTCCTGCGGTCCAGGGGTGCGGGGTGCAGTGGTGGGGGACACTGATGAGGAAGTGCGTGCATGTGTGTGCATGCACGGTGCTTCGGGTCCTACGCAGGGGGAGAAAGGAGGAGTGGTACGGAAGAGCGCAGCGTGCGTGCGAGGTGTGCACAGGGCCGCGTGCAGTGGGACAGGCTGGCATGTATGCCTGGCGTGGGGGCAGAGGTGACAGGCTGCGCGTGTGCAGGCGCTGCCGGGCGTCCCGTTTGCAGGACATGCTGAGATCCCGCAGTTCGTCCACCGTGGCACAGTGACGTGCCAGTCCCGGCCTCTGCCTCGCTGGTCCCCCGGCCCCCAGTGCGGAGCCCCGCCAGGGGCATCCCGCTGCCTGGGGAGCTCTCGGCCCAGCCCGACGCGGCTCTGTCCCCATCCAGGTGGCTGAACGCCCTGGGGATGCTGGCGCACCAGGGCATCGACGTGGTGATGCGGCACTCGTTCTTCGACCACGGGCACAACCACCTCGTGGACCAGAACTTCAACCCGCTGCCGGTAGGTCTGCCCCAGGCGCCGCCGACCCCGCGCCCCCATCTCTGCCATCCACCTCCTCCCCGCTTTCCAGCCGGGTGGATTTCCCCTTCCCTTGGCTCCTGCCAGTTAGTAAATCAGAGAGATAAGTGCTTGTCTTCTTTGCCCTTGACCCGCTTCGCAGACTCTTGGCTTCACCACAAAACAATCCTGTGTGCAGCCGCGGATCCGTTTCTCCTTGTGGCCTGTTTGAACTCGGCTTGGAAATGAATTTTTCCAGATCTGTTTCTTTCAATGCTAATAGGAGACATTAGTTAATGTCAAACACAACATGTTGAAAGCAGATGGGGGAGAGTTACCTCTGGAGCCGAGACTGCAGCCAAAGCAGAGCCGGGCGCGCGGCACGGGCCGGGGGCGCCGCCGC